ATCAGCTAAGGTGACTTCAAAACAAACGCTCCTATGTGATGCAGGTGGCACACCGCGTCACACGATATGTAGATATCAGGTAACAATGCAAGCCTGAGCCTTCTCCCCCCCCCCCTCTCTCTCTCTCTCTCTCTCTCTCTCTCTCTCTCTCTCTCTCTCTCTCTCTCTCTCTCTCTCTCTCTCTCTCTCTCTCTCTCTCTCTCTCTCTCTCTCTCTCTCTCTCTCTCTTTCACACACAAACACACACACACACTTCCAGTAGATAACGAGATATTTTGTGGAAAATATCCAAGTGAACGATACCCCCCCCCCCCTCCTGACTGTACTTATTCCGGTGTTAATTGCTGATTCTCGCTCAAGCCAAAAATAAAATAAAAACAAAAAAGATATATTAAAAAAAGATGGTAGAATGTTTTTCCTTGCCGTCGTCCTGTTTAAATTATTCATAGACACAAAGGCTAAACATATTGAGGGATAGGTTGATAAATCCAGCAGGAAGACGATTCGGAGGAAATGTAAAATAAGAAAATGGAAAGGAAGGAGGTGAGGTAATAAAAAGAGGAAGTCAAATCAGGTAAACATTTCATGAAGTGACGTCAAATGAAATTTATATTATCAAACGAAATTGCTAATATAAAGAGAATGGAAAGAATGCATATCTCCAGGGAAAATATAGTAAAAAAAAAAATGGACAACGGTCATAAATCCCTCGAAGAAGAAATAGGTAAAAAGGACAATAATTAACTTTCAACTCGTAAGTTTTGAAGGACCCTGAAAATATGAAATTAAAAAACATGTTTCGCTAACTGCAGCCATATTTCACTTTTTTTCAAAAATAAACTGTAAACCTAACTTGATAATTTGTGAATTAACTCATTTTTTTTTACTATATATGGCACGTAAACATTTATACAGCTTATCCCTCGGCCAATAACCCATACTCCGCTGTCAACGTCAAGCGGAGTGTCAAGGAAGAAGGGAAATATGTAGTTTATTTGTGTTTTTGTGTATGTTAAAGAGTCTTTCAAGATGGGGATCCTCGTTGACAGTTCGATAATGATAGGATCCATGGTAAGTTAGGATATAAACGATGAGTAAGGAGGTAGAGATCTGTTGTTTATATATTACATATTTTATCTCTGGATCTTTGCCCGGTTCTTTCAGTTGCAGATTATATGTATTTATGCTAACGACGAATGTTGTTTTGCTTTAAGTGACTTGTAGATATCAACTAAAACTGGTCTGCTATGTATTAGCATTATGATCGGCTTCCTAGAATAGCTGAGGTTACGTATCACACACCATTCCTGAACAACAGCCAGACCCAACAGTTGGTCCTGGTGATATAAGAAGCAGGGGAATGACAGTTATATCCTAATCAAAGGGAAACAGAAGTCGAAATAGATAACTTTGCCCTCATTATTGCCATTGATCATTTTGTTGCACAGCCCATAGATGTATATGACAAGACAGATTCAGAATCAGTCATTGAATTGCAACAGATGATTGTTCAGAACACCAACATCCACCCAACATGACAATACTGTTACCAATTGATTCCTCTTACCATCTATTCCTCATAGAATTATGTGCAGACCCTCTCCCTCACCATGCCCCACAAATAGTATGTGAAGACATGAGGGTTACCAGGAAATTTTCAGGGTAAAATATGAAGATAAATAAGTTGTATAGCACATATGTGAGATAATTTTCACTGATATTTAATACAGGGGGCTGTGTCCCCTTGTGGCCTCCCTAGAGGAGGCCTACTTCCCCCAGCATAGCACTGAAACACAAAGAATACTCCACATTTTCATGACAGAATGGAACCTTTGACCAACATTCAGATGAACCCTCATCATAAAATGGGTAAATCTTTAGAGGACTTGTCTTCCTGCCATTGGCTCTATATTGCATCCTGCCATAAATACAATAGAGAATTTTCTCTAATCCAGGATAAGGGTTTATGAGGTAGTAGTAGTAGGGTATGGGGAGTTTCTACGACACAATTCTTACATGCATGAGTAAAGGGCGAGGGGAACCCATTGGTACCAGTATCATTATGATCAGGTGGGCATAGAACTTCTGGCATTTATAAAAAAATAGATATTTTAAGTTGTGTCCTTCAGTTTTTACTCTATGAAAGGTGTGTAATTCTCATTTAATTATCGAAATCCATGAAACCAGTGTAATCACTGGATATGTAGTGCACTGTTCAGTATAATCTTAGTAAGATTTCTTTTATAGTTTTCTCTTTCTCTTTCTTTTATATTTATTTTTCAAAAACTTTCCCAAAGATTTGCTTTGTAATCAGTCAAAGCCTTCTGCAGCAAATGGAACATGTATTCTCTGTAATGGATAGTGTCCATAAAATAAACTCATAAATTTTCTCTAAATGATCAAAGATATCCACAGATAATTGTGTCCGTTTTTGTGTGTGAGTATGTACACAGGGCTGGATTATCCTATAGGCTAGTATAGGCTGCAGCCCCAGGCTCCT